TTTTTCTTTAAAAAAAGCAGCGTTTTCCTTCTTTAAATACTTTTTATAAGAAAGAATGAGTAAAACTTCGATAAATCAAGCTAGCCTTCAAGTCTTCTCATCGCAGTGATTATTGAAAAACGTTCAGTTCAGTTCAATGACGAGAGAACATCGGAAAATTTTTCTGCAGCAGCAAATAGTGAACAACACTAAAATACGTTCGTTGTCGCTCATGAATTTTTTCATCAGAAACTTACAAAAGCGTTATCATCAGACATTCATAAGCTCTGTCATCATATCACCTGCAAAACCAATCACTTAAATATCAGCAAAATTGTACACATGCATAATAAGAAGGTTAATGAGTGCTTGAATGAACTTTACATACAGGTGTATTAGAATGGAACAACTCAAAAATGAATGGGCTCAGCCGGTGATCGAAACCGGGACCTCTCGCACCCAAAGCGAGAATCATACCACTAGCGCGCAGGCAAACACAAACCTTTAACTGGAAGGTTCACAAGAACAAAGCATTCTTTTGTATGACTTTAAATCACCCGCAATAAGAAACTTCCTTAAAACTTGTTATCAAAATGGAGTGATCCATCTAAATTTAGAGCGAATACTGCATGAATTCATAAGAATTGCTTATGGTGGAATATAGTAAAACTTACAACAGTAACTATAATTTACTTATGTCCATGTGCCATGATAGCTCAGTCGGGAGAGCGTTAGACTGAAGATCTAAAGGTCGCCGGTTCGATCCCGGCTCGTGGCATCCTTTTCCCACTTTCTATATCCAATGTATTTCCGATTTTCTTTCAATTCATTCGAAATTCTGCGACCAATCTCCAGAAACCTTTTGATGTTTGTGATCTTGAAGTACCGCCGGTACCTTGAATAATATACGAGACTGCAAAATTCTCAAAAGCATGAATTCTTTAGTCCTTAGAAGAGCTCTTCTATCGTCATCCTAAATTCTTAAAACTCGCTCTCCTATCAACACATTCTTAAAATTCCTGAACTATTCAAAAAATCCTTGATATTAAGGCAAATGTCGAACGAATATCTAAATATCTCCAAAAACGTTCAGATAGTGTTGTATTTCATCGAGATACTTCAAGAATCTTCAATGACGCTAGGAAATTCGACATCGGTTGAAACTATTCCAGTAATAATTTATGCATTCTGATAATATTTAATCACATGAAGTAGCAAAAACAATGTTTCAACATAATACTCTCAAGATAAACGAACAACAACGACAGCAACAATTAACAACGATATAAGCAACAACAAAATGAAATGGCTTCTGTCGACAAAAAAAACTCAAAACATTTCTTTCTGAACGCACGACAAGAAATGAAAATGTCCACAATTAATAATCGCATTCAACATTCACAACAAATGATATAATCACTGATCCAACGGCTGCGCAACAGTCCACCCATTCACCCACTTTCAATGAGGAACGATCGTAGCTTAGAGGACCCATGAAACATCTATCTGATTGGTGCTTAAAATTGATGAAGTAAATTCATCGAAATATGAAGTAAACTCATTCTACTCACTCGAATTTGTTTAATATCTGCTTTCAGAAAATGTTTCAAGGAGCAATTTTATAAAATTAATGCATATCCATCAATGACCAATGCTCCCTCAAACACATTTTGAAGTCATCAACCTATAATCTACCATAACCCATCGTAATCAATTATGTTTATTGAAAAAGAGCAATTTCTGTTATAAGATCTTATCGTTTCCTTGTTTCGCTACGTATTTTAATTTGATCATTATGTGATGCTGCTGTGACTGTTGCTGTCAGACGGCTGTGACGTTTGCTGCACCTGGAAACCAGCTTTCACTGAATTCACCGATCCTCGGGCTTTCGCTTTAGGACCCCAATTCTTGCCTTTGTTACATTGAAATCTCAGCATATTGTCCAGCTTACTCTTCGATTGTGCATCCGGATGCATTTGAAAACTTATTTGATGGCTGCAAAATGAAGAAAGCTCATTTAGTTCGTTTTCTTTACAATAGAAATGTGTATTTATTGCAGGGAAACTGTTCATCGAAGGTCACAACTAAAGAGAATTTCAAAGCTCCAAGTGGAACTTCGAAGCGATAAATGAAACCACTTAGTTTCCAAAAGCCTGAAAATCCGGCAACTGAAATCGCAATTCAAAAGATTCTATCATAAGATATTGCCCTTTTAAAGGTTTCAGTTTCACTGATCGTGAATGCTAACCATGAATATAACTAACGTTATTTCTCCCTCAATTATACGTCGCCCAATACTGTTCTCTTCGAAACGTGACGCTTGAATGTTGTTGTTCTTGGCCTGCAATTGTATAAAGTTTATCTCAATTCAAACCGAACCGTTTAGAAAGATAATGATCGCAACAACAGAAGGACAACAATGAGCATAGAAAAACCTACAACGGTCCTGACAATATCCCAAAGAAGTGTCAGTGGTGCGTCAGTTTTCAACGCTTTCGGATTACAATGCGCTATCGAGCATCTGAATCCAGCGTTCAGAATCGCCGATCGCACATTTATTACGCGTGGCACAGGCGATTTCAGTGTATGCATCAACTGATCGTGCTCATAGTATAACGGTACATCGGGCAATTCCTTAATCGTAGTGCACACTTCAAATTTTGATGCCAATTCTAACAACTTGTTTGGTGAAATCAAACAAAAACGTGATAATGATAAATTTTATAAAGAACGCAAATTTTGATCAAAAAAGCGCGAATTCTCATTTCAAAAAACTGATAAGGAAAGCATTAACAAAAAAAACGAGAGGAATCAAAACCAACCTCCGTGATCACACTCAAAACACCCAATAAACGATCGAATGTCTTCAACTTTTTTGCGTCTGGATCTGCATAGAGCCTGAAGCAGAACACGAATAATTTCAAATCTGGTTGCTTCTCAATACAATGCGAAACCATCTCAATTCATGCTTTCATCCATAAGCGACCAGAACACTAAGAAAATGAATGGATACTGATGATCAGCCTCGATGAATCAATAACGAACTCGTCACCGTATCTGTCACCGAGAAGCAACTTCTATTTCAATCGACTACAACAATCAAACACAATTCTGGATGATAGTTCATTACAATAAGAACTTTGCGATGAATCTAACCAGTCAATACCTAACCTTTCAATAAGTTTCTTGACAAAGTCGAAATTGTGAATTGGTGCTGAATAAATCGGTCCAGCCATATGAACACTTTGTCCACAGTGAACGCATTTGCCGTTTGCACCAATCAGTTCGTTCATACTGAATATTGGTGGCGAGAATTTTACACTTTCTCCAACAACAGTCTTCCGAGCGATCGGCATTAACTGCAGCGAATGACAACCGCTGCACGCGAACACTTGTGATATTTTCCTTAAATTTCGAATATTTATGTGAGCATTACACTCATTCACGAATTTTATTTTATTGCAATCATTTTTACAACCGTTCTATCAAAATAAACTAATCAAAAGATTAATTTACAACTGACAGTTGCAAATTTTTTCAAAAATAATTTCGAATTATTAACAGTTGTCCACCGACAACTTATTATGATTACGAACTGAGCGTAAACAATGAATATTCCTTAATATTCTTTTAGTAGAATGAAGCTGATGAAATTTAATCAAAATTTGGCGTAACTGAACTGCAATTTTGTCAGAATCCGAATTATTTGTTCATCAATTTACTCGAATCTCATCAACTACACTATTTGAAGGCAACGAATTATGGCTTGAAATAAATTCATATGAGAAAATGCTATAAGAAATACGAACGTGACAGAATCCTTGGCTATTTTCGCACTTGTACGAATTCGCACGAAGACTCGCACATAAAAGTCAACACTTATCGATAACAACGGTTCAATATAACGAGCATAACGATTCGCATGTGAGTCGATCGATTTTAAGAGCACCCGAATGGCCTGAAATGTTTGCCTTTCAACACACACATCAACAGATGTTGTCCACCTGATGAAGGCTTCACAATTTTGTGGGAATCAAAAAGAAATGAAAATATCAACGAAAACTCACAAATTCATGGCATGATTTGTGTCTAAGTGCCACTGAATCGTATTTGTTATAGCATGCTTCTGGTGTATTCCCACATAGAACAGCCATATCGGTACATGTTACCATTAGGATTCCTTCAATTAAATTATTCTCCTTTAACGATAACAAATAAATCCAGATTCATCAAACTATATCTACTATCAGCGAATTCTCCACGACAAGAAGTGACTGCAAAAATACATCAATCCACAAAACCTACCACGATCTGCGACTGCCTGTACAGCAGAATCCAGAAATACAGACGCAGACCCATACGGATCTAAGTCAATTGCGTGAAATCGCTTGTCTACACTACGATGTTCCATCATTGCCAATCTGTAAAATCAAAACAAATTCACATTTTACTTTGATCTAAACATTGCTCACTTAATTCCAGAGAATATCCAAAAAAACAAATAATTTTCTGAAAACAAATTCGTTCCCCGCAAAAAAAAAAGACTTCAAAAGCAAAAACGAAGCGAACCACATACACAGCATCACCGAATCGAGAGGTGACAATATCTTGCACACCATTCTCCACTATATTTTTATTGATCGTTTCAACCGCTTGTTCTGAGAAATCATTCGCCAATACTTTTGAAATGTGCTTTACCTGAATTTAAGCTCACTCAACAAAATCACTTCAAGATATGCACGTATCCATGCAAAACTTCACTATTACGATAAAATTAGTGATCTAATGATTAAGAAAACACTCTAATTTTCAGACTAGAAATGAGCACATCGCCATTTGATCCCACTCAGAATATCACAATCCCAAAAAATAATCATCAAAATAACAGAATTTTGGCATTAGACTATGCGCAATTCCCAACAGAATGCATCACTCATAAAATAGAGGTGAACCATATGCGGAACGTGTATTCAGCAGAATCACTCACCTCTTTAGCAAATCGTATCGCCCGAAGACCACTCGCAGAGAGCGCATCAAGAATACGAATATTCCCGTCCTTAACAAACATTTGCGAATTATGAAAATATAAATGAAAATCACAAATTCATGGCATGATTTGTGTCTAATCGTAAGTGCCACTGAATCGTAAATTCAAAGAAGCAAATACAACAGGCGTACACATGATTTTAGGTATGATAATGGAATCAAATAGGTTTCATCGAAGCAATATTGAATAAAACAAAATTATCACTAATCTAAAATCCAATTTTGCAATGAATAGAAGAATTTGAACTAAGAGAACTAAACTGAGAAATGGACTTTTTATATAGAAAACATGATCACTAAACTATTCCTTGCTCTTCACTCTCGAATTACTTCACATATTCTCGCATAAACATTTAAATGATTTTAAAACAATGCCACTTATACTCTATGTAATACTCAAAACTATGCAAATTCTTCATGAAACATTCTCCTAGTATTTGAAAATGTTCAAAAAACCTCATTTATATTAATACAGAATAACAACGAATGAACCTCAACAAACTGTACTTTTCTGGCTTTTTTAACTAATGGTTCCCCGTTCGCCTCTTCAGATTTTCGTTTCTTCAGATCTTCCCGATAATCAGCGCAGAACTGTTGCAAGACTGTAACGCTGAAAAGAGTGCTTCAATAAAACAATTGATCAGAAGGCTCCTTGGACGTGACTAAAATTGTGCGAACAAAAATTCTAATAGAATGTCAAGCTATATTCGAAAAAGTCTCAGAAAACAATTGAACTATCTTAAAGAATGTGAATTGATGAAAGGTTATGTTCATTGAATAATCTCCTTATCATTGCGACAATAAAATTATCACAGTATCGATAAAAATTGGCGAGACGGGGCGATTCCAATGAAGAGAATCACTGCAAAAACGAACGTCAGGTCTC